TAATTATTACTGATTAAAACCTGTCCGGCTTTGTTCATCTTTGACACCATGACTAAGAGAGGCCGCCTCCGGAGAGAAAGAGGGCAGAGGACGCCTGGACGGAGAAGGGCTACGGGACAAGATGCAGGTGGCGGCTCGGCCGCGGATCAGAGCTGGAAAAAGATGCTCAAGTGCGCCGCTGGGTGGCAGTGGGCACAGACCCGCTCGGACCTCCGGGAAGCCGGCGACGCCAGCCAACACCTCCAGCTGCAATAGGAAGGCGGGCCGGAGGCAGGTGCGCCCGAGAACCAAGGAACCCCCTCCGTGGCCGGGGCACAGGCGCAGGTAACTGCCGTCCTCGGCCAGGCACTTCCAAGTCAAGGCTGCCAGACCTTGCAGAGGCCGAGCGGCCCCGCTTCAGAGCAGGCGCTCTACGGTACCCAGAGCACCCGCAACCGCGGTCCCCTCCCACGGGAGCGCCCGGCTCCACCAACCAGCGACGAGCCGGAAGCACCGTGGGAGCCCGCCTTCCCTTCTAGGAAGCCTGGAGGTTTCCCTCTCGGTGGTGCGCTGGTTCCGGACGCTCCCGCGCCCGGCTTGCAAAGCCGCGCCCTCTCGCAGCAGGTGTCAGTGTCGCAGCTGTCTAGCAGCGCCATCAACCGACCGTCTGGCTGCAACCCTGCCTGCACAGACTATAGCAGCTGGCTGCAGATGGGGCCGCAGCAGGGCCAGGAACCACGCAAATGTTTGGGGGTTCCACGTGCAACTGTGATGGAAAAGCCAGACTTCTTGGCCTGCAGGGCACGTCATACAGGAGACAGCTGTTTGCATCTCTTAAGCCCGTACTATTGCTGGAACCCAGTCCAGGGGGGCTGGACTGGTAAAAATGATAGTGTGGAGTCTGGTCCAACCTCTGAGGTCTTAATAGGGCCAGACTTGACATACTGAGTGCTAACCTGAGGACGAGGCCGGAAACTAGAGAATCAGCCAGATTTCACACTACAAACACTGAGGACAGCTGAGCACATTACAATTTAGACTGGACTGTAGGAGGAGGTGTGCCCACCTCCTTTACAGTAAAGGATACAGGGAGTGTACACAATGAGCTCTCTGACGGTGCTACTTAGAAATCTCAGCTTCAGGGGATGAGGACTAGGGTAGGATCGGTTAAGGGAGATGGAAGACTCGAGTACCTGCTGGAGGCCTATTACTTCGGGAGGCATGGCAGTGGTAGCTAGATTAAAGGAGAAATCATGCAGCTATATTGTTTTTTATCACCAGCCAACTTCCATGTTGGAGTGGCTGTGGAAAAACAAGGAAAATCAAGAACTATAACAAGAAATGAACCAGATGGAGAGCTCTAACCAGGGAGCCAGCCTTGCAGCTGCTGAGTGAGCTATATACAAAGACCCCAAAGAAAAAGTTCCAAGAGCCACAGAGATTTACCCTCATTCAGCCATGGCCAGAAGTGCCTGTTTACCCCAAACAGGGCATATGGAAATCAGAGGGGACCATAACCTCACTTCCCATAACGCCACCAGCTCTTCCACCCGAAGACTAGCCAGTCACAAGTTATCAACAAAAGATCTGAATGCAGACTGAGAGCTCACTGTGAACCAAGAAACATTAATGGAGGATGATCAACACCTCCCACAGAGGGCTGTCAAAGCTGAATTCCTAAAAGCTTCCAGGCATTGGGGAAAAAATATCCTGAAGCTTCTCCTGTTATCTTAGTTGCCAGGAGACCTGGAATAACAAAAACAAGAGAAAAGTTTGTGATCTCAGAAGTCCGCAAGATACCTTTCAGGTGTCTGATCAGCCCAGTTAACTCCCCTGTACCGGAGTGGGACCCCAGCAGCCTCATTCACACTGTGTGATCTAACCCCTCAGCCAGGGGAGAGGAGACAAGTGAACACCTCACCGAAATTGGGCAGATCAGATTCTCTTTCCCAGGAAATGTGCCACAGTCTGGGAGATCGTTTGGGCTGCTCCCTGGATGGAGCTGTAAACATGAAACCCATGGCAAATTCTGCTGTGTGCCTAGGGACAGAGCGAGCAGCACTGCAAAGAGGGGAGAGGAATCAGAAGTGAAGAAAGAGGGGCGCCTGGGGGGCTCAGTCAGTTAAGTGTCTGCCTTCAGCTCAGGTCATGATCCCAAGGTCCTGGGATCGAGCCCCACGTCGAGCGCCACGTCGAGCTCCCTGCTCAGCAGGGAGACTGCTTTTCCCTCTCCCCCCTGCTCTTGCTCTCTATCATTCTCTCTCTCAAATAAATAAATCAAATTTTAAGAAGGAAAAAAGTGGAGAAAGGGCAGAGACTGCCTGTTGTTCCTGCTTGGGTTTTCCAGGCTCCAGATCTCCTGCTGCATTCTTGTCCTTGGTGCCAGGCTACACATAGGAATCCTTAAAATTAAGTGTACTTACATTCATTGAAATAGGCTTCTGTTATTTTTAAAGGGTCTCAAATAACATAGCCAACTCACTGATAAAGGCAAAAGTCTCAAAACTAAACAATTCCGGTAACATGATACCCACATCCCTTTCCTGAAGGAAGTGGGCAGTCCTCTTGCTCGTGTTAAACTAGTAAGTTTGGGAGGGAGGGAGGAGTCAGTATGTTTACAGTCATTTCACTTTCAGAGAAAATAAAACTCTTGGAAGAACTCTACATTGGATTTTAAGTAATGTATGAGTTTATTTTTACACATCTGTCCTTTCTGTGAGCTACACATGACCCTTGTCAAAAAACATCTGAGTGACTACTAAGTGCCAGACAACCTTGCAACACTGGTCCCTGCATTAAAAAGAATGGCACATCATTCATCTTTTGGCACCTACTAAGTGCTATGGAGGCTGTATTGCACATTTGTGCGACAATGGGGGGAACCCTACATACCTGTTGAATTAATGAATAAAGGAAGAAATAAATGAGAAAATAAGTCATCAGAAACCCATAAATCTATTGGCTGTGAGAAATCAAAAGCCATTTTTCAGGCCAGAGCTCATATTTATTTTTCCCTACGCTCCTTGCTTTCTTCTCATCTTAAACTACATTTAGAAGTTCTGCTCTTCTGAAGTCTGGCTAGCTTCAGAGCCTCTCACCACCACCCCTCCCCCCCCCCCAGGGTTCCTTGCTATAATCCTCCCAGAAAACCTCAGGCCCTGTTGCGTAGTGTTTGTGGGAAATAAATAGGACATTTATATATATCTCATGTGTGTGTGTGACAGAGAAATAATGACAAAGAAACCACAGTCACTGTCATTTTCCTACATTTTGACTGCTTTTCTAAACAGTGATTCTAGGTGAGGGATCTTTGCATTTTGCAGTCTGGAAGCTCTGACTACAGCTGGGAAGGTAAGTTTAGTTTCTGCCTTTTCTTCTCTTGAATTCTATGTATTATACAAACCTTATCAAGGAAGAAAATAAAGAAAAATCTCCAACATCCCACAAACCATTTAAATTTCTCCCTATGCTGGGGGTGATGGAAATTTTATCTTGGTTACATAACTGTATTCATTTGTCAAAACTCACCAAACTGTCTACTTTAAAAGGGTAAAGACTATAAGGTGTATCTCAATAAGCCTAACCAAAGGCAAAACCAAAATATTACTTTATGCCCTCCCTTGCAGACATAATTGTATGGTGTTAATCGTAACAGTGTACATCTTTTCCTTAGTGCTGTATTCCTGCTTAACTACTTAAAGTACCTTCCCATGTTGCTACACTGTCCTGAAGCAGTGATTGTGAGAAGGATCAGGGCCCATACCACTAGATGAAAAGTATGGCCAAACCAGTGGCATCATAACATCTAGTAAGATTAGTGCCCACCAACAGGGGGCGCCTGGATGGCCCAGTCGGTTGACTGTGGGACTCAATGTCCGCTCACATAAGGATCTCAGGGTTGAGATGGAGTCGTGCATCTGACTAGCGCTCCGCACAGAGTCTGCTTATGATTTGTGGTTCTCCCTTTTCTTCTCCCTCTGCCCTGCCACCCCCCTCCACCCTGCCCAGCTCATGCACGCTCTAAATAAATAAAATCTAAAAAAAAAATTAGTGTCCATACACAATTCTTGGTGTTATCAAAGTAGTTCATTATAAAATTAACTTAAAAGTATCAAGACTCAAAAATTCAGATTTAATCAGAGAGGACATGGAATAGGGGTGAGAACACATCCCAGTGTGTGTATGATTAGTTATGAACTCCCTTCTGAGGCAAGAGCTACTGCAAGTCAGGGTCAGATTTCTCTCCCTCCCTCAGAGGCTCACCAGTGTGATGCCAAAAGGTTCACTCCATGTGTAATTGAGAGACGGCTACACCCAGGCACCTGCCCTCTACTGCACAGGCCCAAATACTTTCGTACCTACATGTTTGAGTGGGCACTGAAATTAAACAAGGATGTGGACAGGAACAGAAAAGGAACCCAAACAGAAAAGCCACATCCCCTTCCAATCAAGTTTAGAGACAGGATTTTACATTCTTGTTATCAATGCTGACTCATCACTTCATATTCTTTTTACTGGTTATTTCCTTGGTCTATTGCTTAGTTACACAGGATCCTCATCATGGTCATTATTGAGGTAATAAGAAGTCCTGGGCTCCGAGTCCACACGGTGAGCCTTGCTACTGCCCCACCAAATGGCCCCCCTTAATTCCTGAAAGCCATCACTGGATACTTTCTCTGCTTACCTCCTCCCATATTTCTTGAATCACAACAGGCCATGTCATTGGAATGCCATACCCCTAAACCCCAAAGTGTTCTGTAAACTCTACCAAGTCTAGTAGAGAAGGCAGGTGCAGACTGATGGGTACACGCCCAAACTGGACACCATAAAGGACAACTCCTACCATTTCCCACCCAGGGGATGGAAGAGAGGAGTCAAACACGGTTCTTAACGCGTGAGAACACAAATGGAGTTGGGAAAACAATAATGACTCCACGAGCTCAGAAGACAAACAGGCATGGTCAGGAGCCCAGGGAAACTGGTAACTCTAGGTGGGTGGGTGGTCGAGCACATGAGGGAGCTTATGGGGAGGGGGACAAAGGATTCAGGCTCCCAGGGGAAGTGAGATCCTGAAAGAAATGCACTATTTGAACGGGGGAAGAACTGGCCATTTCAGACGAGGGGAGCAGCACAAAGAGCGGCAGGGAGGGAGGAAGGAGTGCGGGGTGTGGGGAAGGCGGGGCGCCCACTGGCCTGGAGGGGGCAAAGCGCTGGTGCTGGGCAGGCAGAGGGGGGCGGCCAGAAGCAGGGCAGTGGGGCCCAACCGCGGCTGGCCCTGTCACTTGGGTGGCCTTCTTGCGAGCATGTAACTTCTGGTGCTGAATGAAACTTGCGCTCCACTTGAAGGTTTTCCCGCACACCTTGCACTCGTAAGGCCTCTCCCCGGTGTGGAGCCGCTGATGCTGGACCAGGGTGACCTTCTGATTGAAGGCCTTCCCACACTCCTGGCAGCCAAAGGGCTTCTCCCCGGTGTGGATGCGCTGGTGCACTGTAAAGCGAGAGCTACAGCTAAACGTTTTCCAGCACTCTTTGCATTTGTAGAGCTTCTCCCCTGTGTGGAGCCTCTGGTGCTGGAGAAACACGGAGCTCCGGCGGAAGGCCTTCCCGCACTCCCGACATGCGTAGGGCTTCTCCCCGGTGTGGATGCGCTGGTGCTGGATGAGGACTGAATTTGAACTGAAACTTTTCCCGCACTCCTGACACTCGTAGGGCTTCTCCCCGGTGTGGGTGCGCTCATGGACAATTCGGTCATAGCTACACCGGAAAGCCTTCCCACAGTCCTTACACTGAAAGGGTTTCTCCCCGGTGTGGATTCGCTGATGCCGGATGAGTTTTGAGTTGTAGCTGAAGGTTTTCCCACAGTCCTGACATCCGAAGGGCTTCTCTCCACCGTGGAGTTTCTGGTGCTGAAGGAGGTGGGAATTTTGACCGAAGGCTTGTCCACACTCCTGACACGAGTAAGGCTTCTCCCCGGTGTGGGTTTTCTGGTGTCGGGAGAGTTTTGAGTTATACCTGAAGGCTTTCCCGCACTCTCTGCACTTGTAGGGCTTGTCATCAGTGTGAATCCTCTGATGCTGCAAAAGGTCTGAATGTTGGCTGAAATATCGGCCACACTCACCACATTTATAAAACGCCGGTCCTCCAGGGAGGTCCTGCTTTGACAGGAGGTGGGTATTGACACTGGTGCTTCCTTCCAGCTTCCTGCCTGCCTCCTCCCTTTTGATGATGGGGGATCTGTAGTCCTGGACCAGCAAGTCCGTGAAACCTCCTTGGTTTGTTTTCTCCCCTGCATCACATGGCTGTGGCCTTCCTAAGTTGTCCTTAAGGTGAGGGTGCTGGGGAGCTTCTGTGAGCAGCCCCTCCACCATCAGTCTATGGGCTCCTGAGTCTTTAGAAATGTTTAGTCTTGGGCTTTGCTCTTCACGTTCGGTCTTGTTTTTACCACCTAGTATGATAAAAAGAAAAGAGAGGCTCTGAAGCTAGAAAGGTAGAGTTTACTTAAAAAAAAAAAGAAAGAGTGATGCATTTTGATGCGTTTATGGCAGATTTTATACTATTTTGGTCTATTTAAGTCTAGTGTAGGCCAGACTAGTTTTTTTTTTTTTTAACTGAGTCTTTTCTATTAGAAGAACTAGGTTTTTCACAACTATGTAGTTTCTCAAATTTTATTTATTTATTTATCTCAAGTAATCTCTATACCCAATGTGGGGCTCGAACTCATGACCCTGAGATCAAGAGTCTGCATGCTCTACCCACTGAGCCAGCCAGGAGCCCCAAACTAATTTTTAAATGCTGAGAACAACTCATTGGTGAGCTGCAATCCAGATTTTAAAAGGTATGGCTTGAGATTCTCAAGGACAGTAGTCCTCAAAGTGTGGTCCCCGGACCACCATCACCTGGGAACCTGCTAGTAATGCAAATTCCTGGGCCCCACCCCAGTGCTGTTGAATTAGAACCTCTGGAGGTGGTATCCAGCAAGTCCATGTTCTAACAAGCCCCTCACGAGATTCTTATGCTCACTGGAATTGGAAACCACTGATCCAGAAGCTAAAAAGCCAGGTGGAGACTGTTCGTGTACTTGTTTTAAGCTGCACCGCCCATAAGGCAGCCCCTAGACACCTCTGGCTACTTAAATTTATTTTATTTTATTTTTTTTGGCTGTTTAAAGATTTTATTTATTTATTTGAGAGAGAGAGCGTGAGCAAGAGCATGAACAGGGGGAGGGGCATAGGGAGAGGGAGAAGCAGACTCCCCGCTCAGCAGGGAGCCTGACGCGGGGCTCGATCCCAGACTGAGATCATGACCTGAGCCGAAGGCAGACACTTAACTGACTGAGATGTGGCTACTTAAATTTAATTAAAATGGAACATAATTTAAAATTCAGTTCTTTGTTTGAACTAGCCACAGTTCAAGAACTGATGAGGACAATGGCTACCATATTGGGCAGCACAGATATAGAACATTTCCACCACTAGACAGTGTCCTATTGGACAGCACTGGCTTAAAGCCGTTGACAGACTAAATAAGACCATGCACAGCTATGGCAAAGGGAAACACCACTGCAGGTGGTCGGCGGGGAAAGGTTTCTCATCAAGATGATGGGAAGTGGGGTGCTAGGTAGTTCAGTTGGTTAAGTGTCTCCCTTTGGCTCAGGTCATGATCTCAGGGTCCTGGGATCGAGCCCTGAGTTGGGCTCCCTGCTCAGTGGGGAGCCTACTTCTCCCTCTATCCCTCCCCCTGCTCGTGCTCTCTCTCTCAAATAAATAAATAAAATCTAAAAAAAAAAAAGATGACAGGAAGTGCTGAGTCAGCACAAAGGCACTGATGAGGACGGAAGTGGATTGAATTAGGAAGGAGCCTTTGGTTTATAAGACTCTGAACAACATAAGGGATGGAGAGAGCATGAGAACAGGGCCAAATGAATGAGAAGGCTAAACACCCAATCTCTGGATGGTTCTCATTCACCTCAATTCTGTACCTTTCAGAAAAGGAAACCATTCGTTCCCAATAAATAAACAGGCTTTCTTTCAAAAGCTAATTGATAGTGTTTAGGAATTCATAAAAACTCTCTTCCCATGTACAGTTTCATACACCTACATACATAAAAAGTTCTTATAGAAACAAGCTCTGGGGTGCTGTGTGGCTCAGCTGGTTGAGCATCAACTCTTGGTTTCAGCTCCAGTCATGATCTTGGGGTCGTGGGATCAAGCCCCGCATCAGGCTCCGTGCTCAGTGCAGAGTCTGCTAAAGACTGTCTCTCCCTCTGCCCCCCCCTTCTCTCTCTCTCAAATAATAAATAAATAAATAAATAAATCTTTAAAAAGAAGAAACAAGCTCTTACACTGCATTGTGTTTATATTCCTAAATTGACCCCCTAAAAGCCTATTTTCACTATGCGTTTTTGAAATCCTCTAGCTTTGCAAAGAAAAATAACAAAATGAAATTTTTGATGGGTCTTTTCAGTATGGAGCTGAAGCTCTATCAAGGGTCACTTTTCTGAATGAGAGTGAACATCTTCACCCTCATAAGAACTGGTATGACAGAAGCAAAACCTTTTTCACGTTGAATCATTAAAAGACAGGAGGAGGCCAAGCCAAAGAGGAAGGTGGTAAGTTCTCCTGCTTACCTATGTGGACACCTCCCAGGGCCTCCCTCTCAAGGGGTGTCCAGGGATCCAGGCCCCATGGTGCTTCCCCTTGCTCCAGCTGGAGTATCAGATCTGGTTTGGGGAATGGCAATGCTGCTGAAGGAGAAAGAAAAGGAACAGGAAGCTGAGGAGAGTCGCTGCTGACCCCATCAGCCCTCCCTCTGCTTTGCCAGGTGAACAAGTTGACAACCCAGGACACTAAGTGAGCTCCGTGTGGAGAGAATCTGGGCTTCTAAGGAAGGCTGAAATTGTTTTGCTCAAGAGGAGGCTTACTCTGGCTCTATCAGAGAAGACAGACAGCTCCTACTGTCATTAGAGGTGTGTACAGGGGGTCCTAGGAGACTCTCACACAGGACAGATGGAGCCCAGGACTCCAGGGAACTGGAAGAGTGGAGGATCCAGGAACCCTCTCAGCTGTCTGTGCCCAGAGCAAAAACCCCTCTCAGGAGAGTCCCCATCAGGAAACAGGGAAGAGGCAAATCCTGCTGAAAACCAAAGTGAGCCTAGATCTTTCTCCATTAGCTACTCCCAAAACAGGGGATTAGGGAGCTCAGCTCATGGTGCGTCAGTCCTGGGGATATGAGAGACCCTGGATCCACCAAGGAGGAAGCCAGGGACCCTCAGGGCAGAGCTGGTTCAGGGACAAGGAAGGACTTACCCAAGGAAGTTATGTTTGCATAATTCTCCAGCATCACCTCTAGGTACAGGGCCCTCTGCATGGGGTCCAGGCTGGCCCACTGATTCTGGGTGAAGTACACGGCCACATCCTCAAAGGTCACTGGCTCCTGAAACAATAGACTCCTGCTCAAGCCCTGTGTGATGGCTAAGGAGGGGCCTGAACTCCAGGGAAGGGCTGACTCTACTGGAGTCCATGGCTCCGAGCCCCTCGGGAGGCTTGTACTGACAAGGACAGCCACAACCGTACCCCAGTCGGGGACAGCCCTCAGCACATTTTCAACATGCACACCTCTGAGGTGCCCCTGCCTCATCGTCACATCAACCCCATGTCTGGTTCCATGAGCTGGGTCGATCTTTCTGGCATGTCTTCTAATACGACCATAGCATCTCTCATTCACCCTGAATTCATCCACTCCATCCACTCGGTTTCTCTCTGGTGTTCCCCCTCCATGCGTTTTTATAGACAGAGCAACAATCCCACAGGCACAGAGTTCCTTCCACTCTGGTTGGTTCTCCGTCTTTCTGGCATCTTATCTTATCAGAGAGCTGGTTGTCCCTTGAAGGCAATGTGCATTGTCGCCGCCTCCTCTAACACCTGACTCCAGGGACAGGATGGCAGTCTTCATCCCTGAGCAGGCACCTGCCCCCAGATCACCTGCCAACACTGCCCTCTGTACCAGGTGTGTCTCCCTGCTCCTGATGGGGCCACTTCCACCTTCTCAGGGGAGAAGGAAACCATCCCTTGTCCTGCGTCAACTACTTTTACATCAATTCAATCATCAGAACACACACGTGATGTAAAAATTAGTATTCTCTATTACAGATAATGGGAATCAGTGATGTTAAGCACTTTGAAATGGACAAAAGGGAGTCCTCTTTATCTGAGTATCGCGAAGTTGTATAAGGAAGCAAACATTTCAAAGTGAACTGACCGCTTATACAAGTGAGTGGCACTATACCGTCTCTCCTTGACTGACAGTGAACTCTACCCCAGTCTGTCACGTCAACAACCTCTCTGTGCCTAGTGTCTGCCAGGGGCAAGAAATAGAACTACAGACGTACTATATAGGATTGCAGCCATCATGGTAAAGATTGGTTCAGACAAGAATCACCCATGGATGCTACATCAAGGAGGAAATTTCCAAGAGGAGCAGGATACTTGCATAATCGTAAATGTCTCCCCATTGATTTCTGATCAGTTGCAAGGGAAAGACAGTAACTATACACTGAAGAAATCAGGTATCACCTTGACCAGCAAGTTTAAATGTGGCTCGTGTGACTGAGGAACTGAATTTCTCATTTTAATTAACTTTAATTCTAAACAGGCACATATAGCTAGTGGCTACCTTCCTGGACAGTGCACAATAGATAGTTCATTGCCCCCAAATGTTAACCAACCTTCTGTCTTCCCTCAGAGCCAACAGCTGGGAACATGGACCTTCCTTCCTTATATCATGGCTTCTACCCCTCCACACCTCTGAGGCACCCCTGTAATTATCAGTGCATTCCTTGCTCCTTGTTTTCTACAACATTCAGCTTCTCAACTTCCTGCTCCACCTCTGACCACTCTGCTTCTGTCCTTTGCTAGCACTTACTTCTTCACCATGATGAAGTGGGGCTCTTGATTCCCCTACAGAGGAAGTGGGTTCTGAGATAGCGCAGCACAGGGGCAAAGAGCACGGGCTTCAGAGCAGCGCTTCTCAACGGGGAAATGTCCACCAGGAGACATAGGGCACTCGCTGTCTGGGGACTCTTTTTTTTTTTTTTAAGATTTATTTATTTATTTGACAGAGAGAGAGAGTGCACGCACAAGTGGGGGAAGGAGGGGCAGAGGGAGAGGGAGAAGCAGACTCCACGCTGAGTGCACAGCCCAGTGTGGGGCTCAATCCCAGGACCCTGAGATCATGACCTGAGTCAAACGCAGACGCTTACCCGACTGAGCCACACAGGCGCCCCAGGGGACATTTTTAGTTGTCACAACCATGGGGTGTGGGGGTGCTACTGGCATCTAGTGGGTAGAGGCCAGGGATGCTGCTAATCATCGTACAACACACAGGACAGGCCCCCACAACAAAGAATTATCTGGCCCAAAATGTCAACAGTGCTGCGGTTGACAAACTCAGCTCTAGGGTTAGACTCCCTAGGCTTAAATTCTATCTCTGAGGGGCGCCTGGGTGCCTCAGTCGTTAAGTGTCTGCCTTCGGCTCAGGTCATGATCCCAGGATCCTGGGATCGAGCCCTGCATTGGGTTCCCTGCTCGGTGGGAAGCCTGCTTCTCCCTCTCCCACTCCCCCTGCTTGTGTTCCCTCTCTTGCTATGTCTCTATCTGTAAAATAAATAAATAAAATAAGATTCTATCTCTGATAACCATCAGCTGTGTGACCTTGGGTGAGATACTCAAATTCTTTTGCCTCAGTTTCCCCATTTGGAAAAGTAGGATAATAGGAGTACCTATCTTATAAGGCTCTTGTAAGAGTGGAAGTGGAATGAGTTAATATATGTAAAGAACTAAAACAACGCCTGGCATACGGTGTTATATAAATCTCAGCACTTAAAAGTACAGATGAGATTAGGGGAACATTTCTCATAGAGATCGTAGATAAGACTGACAGTTGTCTAGGGACGCCTGGGTGGCTCAGTGGGTTAAGCAGCTGACTCGAGATTTTGGCTCAGGTCATGATCCCAGGGTGTGGGGATCGAGCCCCACGTCGGGCTCTGTGCTCAGTGGGGAGTCTGCTTGAGAATTCTCTCTCTCCCCACCCCGTCTCCCTCCCCGCCTTCACACTCAAATAAATAAATCTTTAGGAAAAAAAAAAGACTGACAATTGTCTAAACATATATGTGTGTATTTTTCCCCCTCCCTTTCTTCTTTAATAATAGAATCCTAATTTTACTTGGGGCTATTCCCAGCTCTGGCAACTAAGTGAGGTCAATGAAACACAAGTACAAAAACTGTCGGGGACTCTCTGGGAAGGTTCCTTAAAGAGTGCAAACTGATGACAGGTTCGCCTTTTTTGTCATCTCCTCTTCTATCTGGAATGCACACGATAGCTGGAGATCAAGCAGGCACCTTGGACCATGAAGCGGCCTTGAGCATGAAAGCCAGTGCTAGGATGGTGAAGCAGAAAAAGAGAAAGAGCCCGGTGTGGGGTAACACTGCCACAATGTCCCTGTACTGCCTCTCCCCAACCTCTCTTGCATGAGAGCCTCTATCTCGTTTAAACCACTGTCCCTTGGGGTTTCCTTACTGGAAGCCAATCCTGAGTGACTACTATACCCCACACAAAGCACCAGGAGAGAACAGACTGCCCCCACAGATGTTTAAACACTTCCTGACTTGGAACTAATTTTGACTTAAGTGGTGAAGCAGAAGTGGATGTCTACATACACATTATTCTTAAGTCTTGGATAGGGCTTCCTAATTATATGACACATCCAATACACAAGACACCAGCTTTCTCATTCCCTGATCTAGGATGCTGGAGAAAAATTCAATGCAGGCAGCCTCTAGTGCCAAGAAAATTCTGCAAGGACAACTGCTTCCAGAGCTGCATGAATTTGTGCCAACAAAGGATACAGGCTTTTGCAGAGATTAAGCTGTAATCTATGCAAAGGGCCAGAGGCCCTGGCATCACCTCCAAACTCAGCAAGAATCCACCTCCCTCATCAATCCACACTCTCCAAAGGCTCCCCAGTGGTGGCTTCACTGTACCCTGACTTTGTGATCTGCAGGGCAAACTCCTCCTGTGGGAATGACTGTTTAAATGCAGGAGGTGGCCTTCCTCCATATGGTGTGAGGCAGACTAGCACAGCCCAAATTTTAACTTGCCCATTTGTTCCCCAGATATTGTACAAGTGAAGATTCTGATTCTGGCGATCTGGGTTGGGGCCTGAGACTCTACCTTTCTAGCAATCCCCTTAGTGATGCCAAAGCTGCTCATCTGTGAACCGTACATTCATGGTCCACAGTCTGCATGGATGTAGACTCTCACTTTTTAGGAGAGTTTCTTTGGTGCTTCCTTCTTTCCCAACCGATCTGATCCTCCCAAGTTCACCTACTCACCCTCATCACCTCCCCTAACATACTCCTCTGCCATACTCAACTGATGGATGCAAAGCTAAGCATGGGACTGGCCAGGCCAGGCTACTATTCCTGTAGTGATCAATCGTATTTCTTTTGAATGTGGAAAGCTGGAAGAAAGCTCAGCTCACCTGGGACCATACTGTCTGGAGCATGGCTGACGACCCCTGGCTTCATGCACTGCCCTCTCTGTTTGGAAAAGCAAGAACCTGTGGAGCTAAGAGAGAGAATCACAATGAGGCTGACCCTGCCTTGTTCCCCACCTCTTTCCCCTCAGTCTCCGTGCCTCTCTCATCTTAAACAATATTCCTAGGACACTCTGGATGTTCTCAGTGCACCTTCTCCAGTGGTTCATGCGGTGCTGAATCTGCTTCCTTTGTAAATTCTACAAATCTGCCTGGTGAGGCTGAAAATTCCTCGAAAGAATGTCTCTGAAGCAAGAGTCAAGAACTGCAGTGGATTTGTGGCTTTCAAGAAAATCCCTGGCCCACTATGAATGAATTACTAAGTAGTCTGTACTGAATGGTTCCAGCAAAGGTGGCAAAGACCAAAACGAGCATTTAGAGAAAATGTAGGGTAACGGGGCCCCGGGACAAAATGCAAGCGGTGATCTGGCCCCAGGGGAAAGGGGAAGACGCCCGACGTCCCAGGGGGGCGATGGTGACCGGAAACCCGACGGGAATCTGCACACTCCAGCCCCTCAAGCGGGCGACCCCACGCGTCACCGGCCCTCACCCTGAGTACCGCGAGCCGGGGGACGTTAGGCCAGCTCTCCGGGGCAGGAGGGTTGACGGCGCCTCTGCGGGCAGGGGCCCCTCGGGCGGCGTCTGCGGGGCCCGACGCCTGAGCTCGCGGACAGTGCGAAACGCGCCACCGCGCGGAGGCGGAGGCCTCTCCCGCAGGTCGCAGCCGAGGCGGAAGCGCGAGCGGAGGCGCTCCCACGCGCGCCGCTCTAGGAAGCCCGGAGGCTGGCCTTCTCCATGGTCCCGAGCCAGAGCTGCCACCTGCGCCCTGGCGCGGGCTTTCTTCCCGCTTTGCCTGCGCTGCGCCGCGCCCCAGCCGGAGAGCAGCAACTCGGGGACATCGAGTCCGCACCACACTCCGCGTGGGTCTGCGTGCGAGCTCCAGCGCTTGCCAGCAGTAACTTCCTCTCCTTAATGAATTCCCAGCCCCAGTCTCTGTCCAGCGGCTTCGAGACTGTGACCTGAGGTCGCCAAGTCCCAGGTCTGACTGTCCCCGTTCTGATCCCGGCTCCACCACCTATTCACTGTATGGCCTGTGCCAGTTACTGAAACTCTGCGCTTCCCGTTTCTCAGTTGGGAACGGCAGTAGTTTCGAACTCATAAACTCAGTGCAGCAATTGAGTGAGTCAACTCGTGCAAAGCACTTAATGACAACTTCTGGTTCTGAATCATAAGTAACTCAGAGTAAGTTCTAGCTCTGTTGTTGCGGACATTACTGTTATTCCTGTGTGTCGTTGCCGCTTTCCTAAAACACACTCCCATATCTCTTTCTCCAGTCCAGATAGACTAATAGCACCGGCAGCAGTGTTTCCTGTGCACGCCCACGCCGGGCGTGCCAGGCGTTGTGCAGATACCTTTGACCTAGAGTCCTGTGTATCAACCTGCCCATTGTTTCTTTCTACTTGGCTAATCCACAGGCACCTAAAACTCAAAATGTTCCAGACGGATCTTGTCATCCTTCCCTCACCCTCCTGTTCCACTTTCCAGGGTTGCCCTGTCTCTCCCCCCTCCCCCTCCCCCAAACTGCATGGTAACCCAACTAGGTGAGTTTGATCCTTGGTGAGTTACAGGTAGAGACTACACCAGGTGGAGCTGTCACACAAAGGAAATTTTATTTGCAGCAAATAAGGAGATCGTGGAGAGTAACTTCCAAAGCTGTGACTCCCCCAGTGGAGGCAAGTGGGTTCTTTTTTACTTAAGGTTGGGATGAATATTCAGAAAGGGGACTTTTGTCATCACGTGTAAAGGTGGGTATTAGGTTGCGCAGGGGTACTTAGAAAACATGCCTATACATGCATTCTGTGTTATGTTAACGAAGGGGGAAATTTTAACATTATAATGACCACTCCATGGTCCATCTGCACAGCTGTAAGCCAGGGGTCAAGCTCAAGCTGGTTTAGGCCAGCTGGAGCTCTTCCTGTTGTTTGCCTCTAAAAGATAAGGTTAACATTCCTGTGAAGAAAGGGGGTCAGTGGGGGTCTTGCTGGTGACCTTTTACCTCATTAACCCTATGGAGCATAGATTCAGCACCACTTTCCATCCAGCCAACCAAATCATTCAATGTGGGAGTCATAACTGATCCCTTCCTCTGCATCTCTTCTTACCTGGATTGCTATAGCAGCCTCCTAACTGTTCTGGTATCCAGTCTGGCCCCCTCTGCTCCCTTCTTCCCACAGGATAGACAGGGTGATCTAAGATATGAATCTGGGCATGACACTGCTTTTAAAAACCCTTCAAAAGTATCTGATTTTGCAGATATTGTCCCTAAACCTTCAGATACTAGAATAGCTGTCACTTGCAACATGATACCCTATGTAGAAAACCCGAAAGACTCCACCAAAAAATTGCTAGAATAAATGAATTCAGCAAGGTCACAGGATATAAAATCAACGTACAGAAATCTGTTGCATTTCTATACAACAATCATGAAGCAACAGAAAAAGGAATCAAGGAATAGATCCCATTTATAATTGCACCAAAAATAAGAAGATACCTAGGATTAAACTTAAAGAGGTAAAAGATCTGTTCTCTGAAAACTCACAAAAGAAACTGAAGAAGACACAAAAATGGAAACACATTCCGCGCTTATGGATTGGAAAAATAAACATTGTTAAAATAGCTATACTACCCAAAGCAATCTACACATTTAATGCAATCCCTATCAAAATACCACCAGCAGGGGCGCCTGGGTGGCTCAGTCTGTTAAGCGTGTCTGACTTTGGCTTAGGTCGAGATCCCGAGGTCCTGGGATCCAGGCCCTGGTCAGGCTCCCTACTCATCAGGGAGTCGGCTTCTCCTTCTCCCTCTGTCGCTCCCCCTGCTCGTGTTTGCTCTCTCTCTCTCAAATAAATAAAATCCTTAAAAAATACCACCAGCATTTTTCACAGAGCTAGAACAAACAATCCTAAAATGTGTATGGAACCACAAAAGTCCCCAAAAAGCCAAAGCACTTCTGAAAAAGAAAAGCAAAGCAGGAGGCATCACGATTCCAGACTTCAGGGTATATTACAAAGCTGTAGTCATCAAGACAGTATGGTACTGGCACAAAAACAGACACATAGATCAATCAACAGAATAGAAAACCCAGAATTGGACCCACAACTCTATGGTCAACTAATCTGACAAACCAGGAAAAAGTATCCAATGGAATAAAGTCTCTTCAACAAACGGTGTGGAGAAAACTGGACAGCAACAGGCGGAAGAATGAAACTGGACTGCTTTCTTATACCATACACAAAAATAAATTCAAAATGGATGAAAGAACTACATGTGAGACAGGAAACCATCAAATACTAGAGGTGAACACAGGCAGCAACCTCTTCATCCTCGGCCACAGCAACTTCTTACTAGGCACCTCACTGGAGGCAAGGGAAACCAAAACAAAAATGAACTATTGGGACTTCATTAAGATAAAAAGCTTCTGCACAGCAAAGGAAGCAGTCAACAAAACTAAAAGGCAGCCTACAGAATGGGAGAAGATATTTGCAAATGACCTATCAGATAAAGGGCTAGTATCCAAAAATCTATAAAGAACTTATCAAGCTCAACACCCAAAAAACAAATAATCCAGTTAAGAAATGGGCAGAAGACATGAATAGACATTTTTCCAAAGAAAACATCCAGATGGCTAACAGACACATGAAAAGATGCTCAACATTGCTCATCATCAAGGAAATGCAAATCAAAACCACAATGAGATACCACCTCACACCTATCCGGATGACTAAAATGAACAACTCAGGAAACAACAGATATTGGCAAGGATGCAGAGAAAGGGGAACCCTCTTAAACTCTTGGTGGGAATGCAAATTGGTGCAGCCACTCTGGAGAACAGTATGGAGGTTCCTCAAAAAGTTAAAAATAGACCTACCTTACGACCCAGCAATTGCACTACTATGTATTTACATAAAGAATACAAAAATACAGATTCGAAGGGGCACATGCACCCTGATGTTTATAGCAGCCTTAACAACAATAGCCAAACTATGGAAGGAGCCCAAATGTCCATCGACTGATGAATGGATAAAGAAGACATGGCATAAATTTGCGACAACATGGGTGGAACTGGAGGGTGTTATGCTGAGCGAAATAAGTCAATCAGAGAAAGACATGTATCATATGACCTCACTGATATGAGGAATTCTTAATCTCAGGAAACAAACTGAGGGTTGCTGGAGTGGGGGGGGGGGGGGGGATGGGGTGGCTGGGTGATAGACATTGGGGCGGTTATGTGCTATGGTGAGCACTGTGAATTGTGCAAGACTGTTGAATCACAGATCTGTACCTCTGAAACAAATAATGCAATATATGTTAAGAAAAAAAGAAGATAGCAGGAGGGGAAGAATGAAGGGGGGGATATCGGAGGGGAGACGAACCATGAGAGACGATGGACTCTGAGAAACAAACTGAGGGTTCTATAGGAGAGAGGGGTGGGAGGATGGGTTAGACTGGTGATGGGTATTAAAGAGGGCACATTCTGCGTGGAGCACTGGGTGTTATGCACAAACAATGAATCATGGAACACTACATCAAAAACTAATGATGTAATGTATGGTGATTAACATAACAATAAAAATTTAAAAAAAGACATGGCATATATATACAATGGAATATTACTCAGCCATCAAAAAGAATGAAATCTTGCATTTGCAATGACGTGGATGGAGCTAGAGTGCATTATGCTAAGTGAAATAAGTCAGAGAAAGACAAATACTGTATGATTTCATACACATGTGGAATTTAAGAAACAAAACAGATGAACATATGGGAAGGGGGGAAAAAGGAGAGGGAGGCAACCCATAAGAGATTCTTGATGATGGAGAGCAAACCAAGGGTTGATGGAGGGAGGTGGGTGGCGGATGGGGTAGATGAGTGATAGGGATTAAGGAGGGCACTTGTGATGAGCACTGGGT